AAACAAAGACGCTATTTTTAATTCTGCCTTAGGTATGCTGCCTTAAGGGTAAATTTAATCATACATATTACATATTTTTGTAGGGTTTTCGGTAACGGACAAGAGTTGTTGTACGGTAGAACCAGGACAAGAGCTATGTGCGGCGAACAAACCGGTTTGTAAGTCTCGAGAACGGTATGTGTACTGGGACAATGTCCACAGCACTGAGGCGATCAATGAGGTTGTGGCGAATACTGCGTTTGCTGGAGTCATTACTTTCCCTTATAGCATTGCTTTACTTGGAATGCTATAGAGTCATTCCCACCCACTTTGCTTTTTGAAATTTATTCCCATTTTTCTTTTAGAAATTTGTTCCCAGTTTATTTTATGAAATTTTATTAAATGATGACCTTTATTCTTCGATTAAATTTCAATAGTTTTATTGTTGTTTTATGGATTTGATTTGATTTTATTGTTTGATTTTATTCCCACTGAGACTTGATTTTATTGTTTTATGGATTTTTCCTTTTATCTCGATTTAAATGATTCGAGCTGGGTTTATGTTCTACTTGATTGGAGAGTAAATTATATATTTTTCGTAAGAGTGATATATCAAAAGCTTTTTTTGAAGGTCTTGTTCTTGTGAAGTTGTTTCTTTTTGTTAGTTAAGAGGTCTCTTATGGGTTTTTAGTTTTGCTAGTTGTAGCTTCAAGTGAGAATTTCTGTGTAAATGAAGATTCATCTTCAGTATTCATTGCTTCAATCCTAGTTGAAATCAATATCCTGGATTTAGTACTTAGTTTTATTGAAATCAAAAGTTGGTTTTTGTTTCACTTTTGTCTTATGATGATGATCCTCAGAATTTCATCAGAATGAGTTTCATTACTCTTTTCTTTTGTGTATAACATGTGTGAATCTTGTGATACAGTGGCTGTTCTTTCTATGTTTGCTTCGATTTTTTCTACATTCTCTTGTGGATTTTGAGAATCTAGATTTGATATATAGAGCGGCTATGTAACTTGTAATTGGTTAGTTACTCATCATCTTCACTTATCACTAGGTATAGTATCACTAGATAATTCACAGCTTAAGGTACCAGGCAACATTTTCTTTTATAAGTGGCTTGGAAGGAAATGTTTATGAATGATGTTCATACTCTAATCAAAATTCACAACTTATTTTATGTAAAGGCTTCCTCAAAGTGTTCAAGATATACAACAGTACAGAGGAATTTCATCTCTTGATTTTACTCAAATAGCACATAAATTTTTTTTTTTTTTAATTTTTAGGAGCCCTAATCACTACAAGAAAACAGACCTATTTCCGACCGAATTTCCGACGGACAACAATCGGTCGAAAATTACCGACGAAAATCCGACGGATTTACGATCGATTTTCGACCGGTCCAAAATTGGTCGGAAATTTCCGACGAAAAAATTCCCGTCGCAATACGGTTGCAAAATCGGTCGGAAATCCGTGGGAAAATAAATCGGTAGGAAATCCGTCGGAAAATTCGGTCGGAAAACGGTGGGAAATTCAGTCGGTCAGAAATCGGTAGGAAAAAATTGGAGCCATTTTTGACCGTTTTAAAATTTGAATTTCCGACCGAATTTCGGTGGGAAATCCGTTGGAAATTTCCCAGATTTCTTTTTAAAACAGATCACACCTTCTTCACTCACGAAAATTGGAAGAACAAGTCATAAAAATGGCTCCTTCAAACCCCCCTCAATATTTTCGAGCATGGATGGATAGACCTTCTCATGATCCAGATTACTAATAATTTTATAGTTACTAATAATTTTTGTTATTAATAATGTAGCAAGATAATGATTGGCATCCTACTTTGACGGGACAAGTTAGGGATGCGTTCTACAAGATGGCCCAGGATAGTTACTCGGGACACATGAACGAGTGGAAGGAAAAATGGGAGAACGGGGGTGAGAAACCGCGTAACTTGAACGAGGATGTTTGGTTGGGATTGCAGGCGTATTGGGCTGATCCGGCAACGAAAAAGGTTGCAAAGATTAACTCGGAGAACCGTAAGAAGAATCCTTGAGGTACTCACAACTCTGGGGCTACGAGTTTCTTAGCGCGGGAGGACGAGATGGTAAGTGTATTTGAAATTTCTATAAATAGTTTTTGTTATCTTTCACATTAACAATATTTATGAAAACGTTTGTAGATTCAAGAATCTGGCGGTGTGGTTCCAGATTTAGTTGCTTTGATGAAACGGACACACACGAACAAAAAAACCGGGAAGATCAATTATCCGAACATTGCTGAAATCGTCGATAAGGTGGAGAAGAGAAAGGAAGAGCGGCTTACGCAAATGACTCTCTCTCAAGGTTTGGATGGTTCTTCTTCTTCGAACCAGTGTGAGTTGTCTCGAGACGAAGTCAACGATATGGTCCTCCAGGTATTGTTACGTTTTAATTATATGTCGACTTTGTTTTTTTTTCTTAATTTTCCATATTGACGCATCTCATTTTCCGTAGGAAACCCCATTGCGCAAGGGTCGTCGTCCTGGATTAGGCAATGTAGCAACTAGGTTCGGGCCTAGTTCTTCTTCCGCGACCAATCCCGTACTCTATGACGAAGTAGCCGGTCTCAAAGAAGCACTTGAGAAGAAAGACGAAGAAGTTGAAGAATTGAAGCTTGAGAACGCCGCAACAAAAGAGAGCCTTGAAGCATTGAAGGCTTTCATGAGGAGCAAATTCCCAGATTTTCATTTTTAGATTTTCACATCGGTTTTAGTTTTTTCTTGTAATTTACGTTTAAAATATTTCTGAATACTTTAAATTACATTTTCAATGTATTTTTATCTTTTTATTTAAATTATTTCGTAATTTAAATAATTAAGAGATTAAATAATAAATAATTTAATTTTTTTACAAAAATAGCAAATCCGTAGGAAAACGGTCGGAAATTTCCGACGGACATTACCGTCGGAAATTTCCGACGGATCAGACGGTCGGAAATTTCCGACGGACTCGCCGGTCGGGAATTTCCGACGGTACCGCCGGTCGGAAAATTCTGACAGAAATATCCGTCAGAAATTTCTGACGGTATTGCCGGTCGGAATTTTCCGACGGCATTTGCAACGACACGTATCGGTCGGAAATCCGTCGGAAAATTTCCGACGGATTCCGACCGATCTTTTATTTCCGACCACCTATACCCGACGGACAGTATGGTCAGAAATCCGTCGGAAACAGCTTAGTTTTTTTGTAGTGAATGAGGATCTACCAATGGAGGAGGAAAAACTTAAAAACACATAATGGAGTTCTAAATTTGGGATGATGGGAAATTTATATTAAAAATTTTCTTAAGAACACCATTAGGGGTTGTACCAATGGACATGCTC